ATCGAGGCGAACCCTTTTCCGAAGGAAACCCCGTGGCTGATTATCTCTTTAATCGTTCCATCTCGATTAATCTTATCTCCGGCGCGGCATACCCGCCAATTCGTCCCCGTGCGGATTTCTCTTCTCTCAGACACTCGGGCGTGACGGACGAACGCAAAACCACGAGAGTAACGCGAGACCCTCCACGTAACGGACGGGGAAGCACGTGAGAGCCAAAGAGGCAGAAACGAGAGGGCGGATCGGTATCAGGAAGGAATCGTAGCGTGCTTACGTCAGTTCTGGAGTCACCAGTCAATTATCTCATGCATACGATTTTTCGTAATGCAAAAACACCGCATGTGTGATTGAATCGTAAGATAATCCTAAATGAAGCGTGTACACACCTACGACGTGAAGTGCACTTTCACGCCGCTTCTTCTCGGAGCGTCTCGAGACGCTCCCGTGTAGAAAATCTGTTTGGGATCTGATCGGAATCTATGCCGGTTCCCCAAATAAACGATGGATTCTGATTGGGAGATCTATGAAGATTCCGATCGGAGGTGCTTCAAAAGTGAGATTCTAAGGAGGAAATTCCAGACAGATCCTGTTTTCTCTGTCTGACCAAAGTGCGATTCTAAAGAGGAGAATTCGGGCAGATTCCATTTGTTCTCTGTCCAACGTTTATTTTTCTGCGGGGTTTCTATTCAAGTTGAACAAAATATATGAAAAACTTTGAGCATTTATGCACATTTTACAAGTGTAAATACTTAAAAAAGCGTATATACTCGAGCTGTTTCAGTTATTTTGATCGGCTGCTTTTTGAAATAATTCATAAATGTCTCTAATGTGTGTAATAATATATATTATATTTTTATTTTGAACGATGCGACTCTTCAATTAAATTAAACGTTTAATTACATATTTCTTCATCGGGCGGACAAAATAGGATCTATGTTTCCCAAATAGAGAATCGTAAATGGGATCTAATTGGGATCCATTCCGATTGACCAGCTAAATAGTTACGATTCTAAATGGGAAACCCAGATAGATTTCATTTGTTTTGCTCAATATTTTCCTAAAGTTTTCTCACAATTGGAGTAAAAATGGAACTTCTGTTTGATATCGCGATATCTTACACTCATTTGGGATAAGTTTAGCTGATCATAGAATCTATACTATATATTTGGGAATGTTTGGGGAATTTCCATACGGGGCTCTCATTCAGACTCGACGGATCAATTCTCTCTCTCTCTCTCTCTCTCAGTTCTTTTCCTTATCAATACCAATTACCCGGAAATTCACGCCGAGCATTTGCTCGATTTGCGCGCGCGCGCGCGATGGGCACCGAGCGATTCGGACGGATCGCATTCCCGTCATCGTCGAGTCTCGCATACGATACACCTGTCTACCGTGACACGCAATTCAATATCGTCTCACTCTCGGTGTCGCAAAACATTGGATGTAGCGTTAATGGGAGAGACACAATCCCTATCGGTAGCGTCGCCCGGTCCTGCTCGTCGGCAGGTTCTCTCACCTTCTCCGGATGCTCCATAGCTCCTATCATTGGTGCGATGGCGGCGTGAAAGCTCGAGTATCTGCCGTCCTCTCGGTCGTAGCTCTCCGTGTAATCCTCCTCGATGCCGCGCAAGTAACCTAAACCGGTGTCCCCGTCGAAGGTGTCCTCGAAAGTGGAGAACGTGTCGAAGGTTCTCACGCTGATCTGCCGCGTTTTCCTTTTCCCCTCCTCCTCCCGCTTCCCTTCGAGCGGCTCGCCGGTGACACTGGACCGGTCGCCGCTGTCCACGAGCACGCTGATCACCGAGTCATCCGCGTTGTCTTTGGTCGAGTCGAAGAACCGTCGTTGAAATATCGCTCGTTTCTCCTCGAGAAAGGACAGTTTACGGCGCGCCTCGACAGGCGAGGATTTCGACACCGTCGAGAAGTCCGAGTCGGATTTGGTCCTCGGCTTGCTCTTCCCGGTCGCGTCCTCCGCGAGCCCCGTCTCGCTATGCTCCGGCCATCTCGACAACGCGTACGGTAACGTCGAGCTGCATTGTGCCGGGGGTGCGCGGGATGAATCGGGGTTATCTCGCTGATCTTGTCGTTGAACTCGCTCAGTGTCTGCGCAGGGGAATGCGTGTGACAAATTGGGGAACGAGTGCTTACACGCATTGACGATCCTTCGGACGATTTTTTCTCGAAGTGACGCCGAAGTGACGCAGCGGTCAAATGTCGATCAATGTCGGTGTAATTAGCCGGGAATAAAGAACGCGTCTTTGCGTATATATCGATTGTTCCATGTATAGAAACGCGAGTGAAATATAGGAAGAATCGGAAAGCGAAAGCCGAGAATTGCTCTGAATTAATTATCGCGAGCAATCATCGGAGATGAAATACAGACGAGAATCTCTACACACAAAGACGATATGCGTGAGAGTGTACACAGAAAAAAAGTGCTGGATTCAAGTAAATAATTACTCCAGTGTGTGATAATTATCGCAGTATAATAATTATTCCAATATTCCTCGGCAAATCTTTACTTTGATCAAATAACACTCGCTTGATTCGAATAAAATATTTTCCAAGTAAATTATCCAAGTAAAACATATTTACTTAATCCAAGTAAAATCCACTTGGTCCGAATGAAAATTCGCTAAGGACCATGGGAGTAATTATTCACTCGAATCCGGCACATTTTTTCGAGTACACGTGGAGAAAACAATCGTTCGTAAAATCTTTCCATCAACTATTCTTCTTTCTATTCTTCTCTTTATAAAAATATAAAAAAAAATACATCTAAGAAGAGAAAGAGGATAGGGGAGGAGAAAGGGAGGAATGAATTAGAATTCGCGAGCGACATCACGTTTGTCATTTGAAGTTAATTACTGCGTGCGATCCCTTCCGATTTAAATCTCTCGCGTGTCAGTTTTTTTTTCTTTTTTGTAGAAAGGCTGCGATTTGCAGATTTGATTCCGTCGTAGCGTTGGAACATGACCTCACCCTGCTGTTGCTGTGCCTGTTGCTGCTGGACAGTCCCCGAGAAGCTCTTGATGGTCAACGACGGCGACCTACGTTGCACTACGGTGACGGTCTTCACCGGTTTCTCGAGCAGCTTTTCCGACTTCTTAAGCTCCCCCTTCGCCTTTTCCCTCTCCAGGGCGTCGTCCTCCTGCCTCTTCTGGCCGGTCGGAGTACCGTACGAGTGCACGGGCGATTCTTGCGAGGATTGGCTCTGCGACCGGCTGCTATCGCCACTCTCCGGGGGCGTCTGACGCGGCTCTTGCTCCGAGGACAAGCGGAATTTGCTCAAGCTCAGTTTGCGCACCAGCGAGTGCGACTTCTTCTTTTTCTTCTTCTTCAAGGTCACGGCCGGGACCACGGCTGCCGTAGACCTTAGCTTCCCCTCGAGCTGTTGCGACTGCTGCCGCCGAGACACCTCTGAAGCGGAAGAGGATCGCCGGTCAACAACAACCGTCCAGCCCGTCGAGAACCGTTTGCCTCGCGAGCGAAGGGGATATTTTTTCGATGCGTTTTGTTCTAATCGCTGCTTTCAGAAGTCACGACGTTAAACAAAGGTAAAAAGTTAAGGCGAAAAGTGTGGAAAAAAAACAATATACGATCCCAACAACTCGCAGATCCTTAATTCGGCTTCCGAGTTAGCGCTGTGTCCATCATGGGTTTGTTGCCGATGTCTCGTGAACATTTCTGCTCACTTCCTCGGGATGGGGAACGACGACTCGAGACAAATCCACGAAGGACATAGTGCTAACTCGAAAGTCGGGTTAAGCATTTCTCCACACCGCGAAATATCAACTTGCAGATCATTTCGCGTTTCAGACTGGCGACTCGCATGCTCCTCGTTCGTCGTCATCGCCAGCGTAAAAAGTGACAAAGAAGAGCGCCGACAGACGTCGTTTACACAGAAGAAAAACATCTTAAATCAACGATAAATATTCTCACATATATAAGCAAGGATGTTATTCTTCGATGATTCTTAGTCTTGAATTGAATGTAAGTAATATTTGCATTAATACAATCAAATCGAAACTAAAAACATTCTAAGAAGATTATTACATTTCTGCTTATATACACTGAGAAAAAGATTTCTTCCGATTAAATAAATTCTATCGCGTCCAAACAGATTTCATCATCGGTACGCTCCGAAGGAACTAATGTCCCGATTGATAAGCACAATTGTTAGACTCTTCAACGAATATGTATCTTTATCTTGCATAAAAAATCTACTTCAAACGAAAGACAATTTCTCACAGAAAAATCACTTGTTCCATTTCACATATTCATCGTGATCGAGTAATATTTTATTTGATTAAAAGATACTTCAAATAATAGCGTTCTTTCGGTCAAATAATCGAGTTTTCTTGAATGAGACGATGAAATTCTCACCCAAACAAATGATGAATATTTCGCACGAGTATACGCTTGTTTCCACGCGGCAACTTTCAGTCAATTAAATCGAAATACTAAATCGAAAGGGACCTTTTCCTCCGTGTACGAGAATATCATTGATTTGAGACCAATTCTCTTTCCGTGCGCCGATTAATAATCTCACACACGCGCGCGATAAGGTTTGCCAAAGTTCGCCGGGTTAAACCTTTGCCATCCAGTTCCGGGTTCGGCTCGGCGGACGCGCCGGTCTCGCTCGTGCGCGTCGGCCTCTTCTTGATCTTGAATATGCCACCCTCCCGGAGGCTGTTCTTGAACGCACCGAATTTGCCCCGCTTCCGGTCGTCCGCGTTCGCGCTGGTGGAGAGGACTGGGACGCCGCTGGTCAGGGTGTCCAAGCTGGAGCTGCTGTCGCCCACGGCGACGTACTCGCCGGAAGTGCTCGGCTGAGGCTTCTGCTTCTCCTCCTCCGACGAGGAACGTGCGATCACTGTGTCGGGCGAGCTGCCACCCTCGTTCGTGCTCTCGTTACGATCCATGATCGCAACGCCGCGGCAGGAAAAGACGAGGAGAACTCGCGCTATGTCGCGATTCGTTACGAAACACGGCGAATGGGG